CTGTCCCTCTTAATCTGGGGCTGATGTAATCCCTAGATCACAGCTTAGTTTGCTCCTGAGAGACCCTAAAACTCAACCTCCGAGGGGCTTTAGGACTGTCCATGGGACAGAGTCAAATAGGAGAGGTGCTGACCAGAGTCTCAGTTCTGTCCCCCGCCCACCTCCACACATCCTGGGTGCTCACAGAAGCCATCTGCCAAGGACTGGGTGCTCCTTTTGGCAGTTCCTGAGGATCCAGGTCTGGCTTCAAGGTCACTGGCATGTGGGTGTTGGGGTCCTCAATCCAGTCTGGGGGGAGCAGGGGCCCGCTGGGCTGGGCTGCTGTGAGAGGCCCCAGGGCGGCGTGGTGTGGGGTCCCTGGGCCAGGCCAGTTGTGGCCTGGCTGGGGGAGGAGCTGCCTGTTTGTTGATGCTAGGCCTGGGCCCCAGCCAGGGCAAACACAGCTCAGAGGCCTTTCCTGCCACCTGCCGAATCTCCCAGCCCAGCTTGAGGTGGCCGGACAGCTGGCAGTCTTTACAGGGCTCTGAGAGGTACCAGGCACCTTCTCACAGAGACTGGAGGGAATGTCCATCCACGAAGCTGCAGTGCTGGGGGCAGTCACCTGGAGTAGAAGATGGGGGGAGCTTTATCTCAACCGGTGGCCCAGCCTCCTACCTCCAAGCCCCCATCTCCAGAAACTGACACACAGCCCCAAGAAACTGCCAGATACATGAGGCAGAACATAGGGTCCCAGCATCACTCAGACCCTTCTTGCAGGATCCTGGCAGCCCTTTGCTCTGTTCTTCCCTCTTTAGCCATGTCTTCTGAGCCTCCAGCTAGGCAGCCTCCTCTCAGCATGCCAGCACATCCCCTGGCACGTTGGCTACACAGCATCCCAAGACTCTCTTTACCATGGGGCCCCATTTTCATCTCCAACCCTCTCTTCAGAGCCTAGCATCTGTATCCACTGATTCCTCCGACACACTGCAGGCACCTGCCTCACACGCAGCCAGCCTCCCTGAGACCCTCCTGACCTACTTCCCCCACTGCCCAGCTGGCCACGCTCTTTCCTGGTGTTCCAAGAACATGCCAGCCTTCACTTCCCTGTTCCTCTGCCATCCTGGTTCCCCATCCTGTCCCATGTCCTTGGCAAACTCTCACTTGTCCTTCAGTAGCTAAATGAAGGATCACCTCTGAGCCCCCAGGAAGAGCCAGCTCTTTCTTCCTACACCGACGGCAGCAGCTCTTGCCACCCCACCACACAGCCGTAGCCCCAGTGTCTCCAAGCGCTCTGTGTGGGTCCTTGAGGCAAGAAAGTTCCTGCCAGGTTAGAGCGTGCAGATCAGGAAAAGCCTGATGGAGAAGCAATCTGTGGACTTGGCTCTGCCAAGGGGAAGAAAGACACCTGCCAGGGTGGGGAAGAGAGGGCACGGTGGAGAGAAGGAACAGCTTAACCACAGGGAACCGTCAATGAGTATGAGATTAGCACTGATAGGCAGAGGGCTGTGTGCAGGGCGAGACGCTTGGCCTGGAGTCACGATGGGGGCTTTCAAGGCCTTAGAGGAGAGCGTGGTTTTCACCTCCACACCCCAGGGTTGAGGACCCACACTTGCAGCTCCTGACTACACTCTGCCCAGCTTGGTGTCCGGGAGGCTTCCCTTTGGGCCCAAGCAGGGGTTTAGAGCTGTGGAAGTCTAGAGCAGACCCATAGGCAAACCCTCCTGTCTTGGTTCTCCCCTGGCCTGCATCCACAGAGCTCGTGACCTTCTGGCTAGAGCCTGTCCCCACAGCCCTGAAGGGCCCCCCCTCTCCCCCGAGACCTGGCCCCCAGCTTCTTTGGCCACTGAAGCGGCTTAATGAGCCCAGATCACGTGGGCCCCCCATGCCTGTGGGGAGGGCCCAAGCCCCCAGTGGCCACCCGACCAGGCCCTGACGTCAGCAGCATTAACCGTTCACCAGGCCTGTTTAATCTCTGTTCCATGGCTGGGCCAGGTTCGTCCCGCCAGAGCCAGAGTCGAAGGCCGTGAAGGCCCCTAGGGGCACCTTGACATTGAGGTCAGCGGGGATGGCGGTGGCTGGAGGTGCCCACAATAAACGCCCACTGCCTATAAGATGAGGGTGTGGCCACATATTGACTCTGGACCAGCTCTCTGATCCTCTGCCCTGGACTGTGAATCAGCCACTGGGCATCCATTGATGCTGCTCACTAGGGTATAATTTACGCTGGTGTGGTAAGTGGGGCTGAGGAGGCTTCTGTCCAGGAGACTTGCCCTTCTCCCTCCACTTGCTGGCCATGAACAGGGCAGCTAGAGACCAGGCAGAGTCCCCAGCCCGTGGGATCCAAGAATATTGGCTCAGAATCCCAGCCCCTAGGGTCAGAACCTGGAGTGTGGGGTCCAGCGCCTCCATGGTATTTGGCCTCCTCTCTGTCTCTTGCTTAGGAAGGCTGGGTAGCTCATCACCTTCCTTCTAAGACAAGGTGGCTAGAGAGACCTCTCCGGGAGCCTGGCTCTCCTGACAGCTTCCTCTGTCTCAAGCCTGCCTCCTCCAGCCTTTCAAAGCTTTCTGTCTTCTGCCTTGCTCCTCCCCATGTAATCCCACCATCACCCTGCCCTGACCCACCTCACTCCAGTAAATTGTTTGGGCAGAGGGTCCTTAGCAGGGATGAGCAGCCCAGCTCAGCCAGGCCCCAAACCACCCAGTGGGATCCTGAAACACTGGCCCCAGCCCCATCCTCCCTCTCAGGCCTCTGAGCAGCACTAGAATGGCTACCCACATGTTTCCTGGGCTCCCTAACCTACCCAGTGTTCCTCGACCTCTGCCCCATGCTCAGGCCTGCGCACACTCATGCTCCCCTTCTAGCCCCATGCAGGCTCATTGTTCCACTTCCACCTGGACGTTGAGGATGCTGCCCACATGCTGCCTTCCGTCCAGTCCCAAGGATCTGTCTGACTCCTGGATCTCTCCCCGCAGTGGCCACAGGTCCAGAAAACTCAGTCCTCTCAACACTCCTTTGCGGCCCCAGCTTGGTGGGGGTATCACATGCACTTGATCACCATACAAATTCAGACCCTTGTCATTGAGTCTGACTCCTTGCAGATGTTGGTCCTATGGAGTAATGACATAAATCTCTTCCTCATGGAGCCTCCCAGCCCCACTCCTCTCATCCCCCCATGACCAGCCTCCAGGAAAAATGTGTGTCACTATATACATGCTTTTATGAAAATTTTTATGATTATTTTTTCCAGAAACAGATTTGGAAAATAGCATTGATGATTTTACTCCCATTAAAGCCAAGAATGTGAAAGTGTGAAAGTGATAGTTGCTCAGTCGTGTCCAACTCTGCGATCCCCTGGACTGTAGCCTGCCAGGCTTCTCTGTCCATGGGATTCTGCAAGCAAGAATACTGGTGAGTTGCCATGTCCTTCTCCAGGGGATCATGGCAACCCAGGGATCAAATCCGGATCTCCTCTATATAATACTATAAATACTGTTTTAGGTATAAATAAACTACTTAAGCTTAAAGTAGGACTTCCCGGGTGGTGCTAGTGGTAAAGAACCCACCTGCCAATGCAGGAGACATAGATGTAGGTTTGATCCCTGGATTGAGACATAAGAGACACAGGTTCGGAGAAGGAAATGGCAACCCACTCCAGTATTCATGCCTGGAAAATCCCATGGACCAAGGAGCCTGGGGGGCTACAGTCCATGGGGTCGCAAAGAGTTAAAAAAAAAAGAGAGACGGGTTCAATCTCTGGGTCGGGAAGATCCTCTGGAGGAGGACATGGCAACTCACTCCAGTATTCTTGCCTAGAGAATCCCATGGACAGAGGAGCCTGGTGGGCTATAGCCCATGGGGTCACAAAGAGTCAGACACGACTGAAGCAACTTAGCATGCATGCACAAGCTTAAAGTAATGTTGTGAATTTTAACAGGCCTACTTTCAACTTATCTGACATTTCTTCAACTACTTTAATGTTCTGTAAAAAAAAAAATTAACCTTTAAAACTACATGAAAACATATATAATAGGAGTGGGCATTTTTCCTTTTGCTTTGGGGTCCAATATGGTTCCACCAGGCTCTCTTGGATCTTGTCTTGATGAAAAATTTTGATATTCTGTTCATTATGGATTTTTGCAGGTAATTTTGATTTTTGAAAGTACTGCATTAATATTTATCTTGATTACTGAGTTTTTTGGCACCACCTTAAGTTTTACATGAGGTGAGTGCCTCATTTGCCTCACCCTAATCTCAGCCCTGTGATTATATCCTAGCTTCAAGGGCTTCCTGAACCCAGAAACATAGGCCCTTGGGCTGGTGGGTGGCACATGTCCAGCCTTCCCTGATGCTGCTTCTTCCATCTTCCCTTCCCTTCCCTGCTCCTGCTCCATGCAACTTCTGTGACTCAAAGGCCCACATTCCTGGGCCATACACACCCTACTGTCCATGCCAGAATGAGCTTCCACCTCACAACCCCTTCTTGATCCAAGATTGTCCTTGTGAACATTTCCCATGGCCCCTTTGCCCCCTCAGTCCCTCTCAGGACACCCAAATTGATCCCATGCCCCCAAGAGTGCCCCCTGCCACGTTAGGTCAGTCGCTTCTTTCTGGAAAGAACCATCTCCCCACTCATGTTCAGTCCAGCACTGGGCATTGAATAAATGTGCATGATTCATGATCATTAACTCTCTCCTTCCCCTCAAGAAAGGACAACCAGGGCCTGATGCAAATATTTATTGCTGAGTTTGTGTATCTAGCTGAAGGAAGTGCAAATTATGCCCTGGCCTTGTTAGATGGATGTTCCTTGCCCTTGACTACATCATGGGCCCCGGCCCATGGGCATCAGCAAGGACTAGGTACTTGATGAGGAAGTGGGGAGTAGGGGTAAGGGGACATGGGCCTTTGTCCCAGATAGTTCAGGCGTGGCCTTTGTTTTTTCCCACCAGGGCCCTGAATGGGAAGGGTGAGAGAAGCTGCTGGCAGGGACAAGGGGGAAACATGGGTTTGCTTTTGACCCTACCTGAGGCAGACCCCTCTGGACATAATCTGGGCCTCCTTCCGGTCTCAAATCCTCTGCCTGGGGCTGATCAATGGGAGCTGGACTCTGCTCCCAGCCACCCCTCAGGACAGTTTGACCATTGGCCACAACTGGTGTCAACAGTACCCTCCCTCGACAGAGTGGCTGGCCTAGAGTGCTGTGGGCTGGGGGGGAGTAGGACGTGACTCTGGTGTCCAAGGACAGTGTGGGCAGAGCCTATGGGGGGAGGGCTTAGGGGATGGGAAGTTTCCAGCTCGAGTCTATTCCTGGTACCAGGAGCCCCCAGGCTTGCCCTGACTCACTAAGTCGTCTCCGTACAGGCTGCACAGGCCAGAGTTGGCCTGGACTTTGGACTCCTGAATCTGCTGGGCGGGGCAGTCACTGGCCACTGGGCAGATGGGCATCAGACCCTGTCACATGGAGGTGGTAAGGCTAGAATGGGCAAGCAGCAGGTCTGCTCAGAAGAGGGCTCCATGCCTGCCCCCTGCCCTTCATAAAGCTCTGGGAGAGAGGGCTGTTTGCTGAACCCAGACTCGCCAGGTGAGTCATGGGCCTCCTGGGGCAGAAGAGAGACAGGAGATTCGTCAGTGGGGGTACTGCTGAGTCACCATGAGCTGTAGCTGCCCCAAGTCCTGCTTGCTTCCAGCTGGGGCTGGCTGTGGTAGGTCTGGGAGGCCAGTGCAGCCAGGCCGTGAAGGGCAGTGCTGGGGTGGCTGGGGGCATTGGACTCTTGGAGACCTGAGAATCCTGGGAGCCACGAGGGAGGGTTATAGGGCCTCAAGGCTAGCAGGGTTTAGGGCTTTGAGTGTGTGGCGGGTGGGGCCACAGGCTGGGGCCCAGGAGTCCTGGGGGACTGATAGGGTCATGTGCATTGGGGCTACAAGGTGGCAAGGGCTGCAGGGTCTCAGGGACGCATGAGCTCAGGCACCTGTGAAGAGAAGAAGGAACAGAGTCAGCATCCCTAAGCACCAACCTAATTGGGTTCAGGCTGAGAGACAGATGGAGATGGGCGTGGAAGCAATGTCCTGGCTGAGTGAGGGACTGGGGCGGAGTCAAAAGAGAGCAAGTGGGTGGGGCTTGTGGGCCAGGGGCAGGGCCTGTGGCCAGGGGTGGAGCCTGAGGAGCCAGGGTGAGACCCGGAAGCAGAAGGGTCAGAAAGTACGGGGACCAGACGCCAGGCAGCGGAGTGGATCTGGAAAGCTGGGGAAGGGCCTGCAGATGGGGTGGGGAGATGGGGATGGGGCCCGGGGGGTGGGGGTGGGCACTGAGGTCAAGAGGCAAGACAGAGGAGCATCCCGGCCCGCGGGGGAGACACCTCAGAAGAGTCCGCAGTCTTTGAGGTTCTCCTTGATGATGATGTCGGTGACAGCGTCGAAGACAAACTTGACGTTCTGCGTGTCGGTGGCGCACGTCATGTGGGAATAGATCTCCTTCACGTCGCGTCGCATGTTGAGCTCGAGGAATTGCACCTTGATGTAGTTGCCGGCGTCCTCATACGTGTTGGGCCCTGACAGGGGAGGGTGGGGGGGCTCTCAGTCCCTGCCGCAAAGCCTCCTTCGGCGGCTGGAGGAACGCAGGCCGAGAGAGTGGCTTTGGAGCGCCGCCCGATGGCAGGCCGAGGGTCTCACCGTTGTAGTCCGGAAAGCAGATGCTGAGGTGTGCCTTTTTGATCTTCTCCGAGAAGACGTCCTTCTTGTTGAGGAAAAGCACGATGGACGTGGTGGCAAAGTAGCGGTGGTTGCAGATACTGTTGAACAGGTGCAGGCTCTCGTGCATGCGGTTCTGAGGAGGGCAGAGGCTGTTGGGCACCGGGGGGACAGGGGTCGCCACCCCCCTCCACCTGGGTGCGACCAACTGGCCGACCCCAGCCTGCTCTCTCGGCTCCGGGTCCCCACTCAGACAGCTCCAAGACTGTCTCCTCCCCCCACTCACCCACCCTCCCTTCATCTCCTGATGAAGAAGCTGCCTCGTCTCCTCCAGAGAGCTCTAGGAGGAACGTCCTCTCTTGGTTGCTCGCTGAGCCTGCAGCGCCGTCTCCTGTCTCCCCTTTCCTCCTCCCTGCTCAATCGCTCAGGCCCAGCCGGACACTCACCACTTCGTCGTCCTCCACCAGCACCATGTCGTAGGCGCTCAGCGCGGCGATGAAGATGATGCAGGTCACCCCCTCGAAGCAGTGGATCCACTTTTTGCGCTCTGAGCGTTGCCCGCCCACATCGAACATCCTGCGGGCATGAGGACCGGAAACCCGTGCATCAAGTCCCCCTGAGACGCCCACAGGCATTCCCTGGATTCCTAATGCTGGCTGGGAGGCACCCAGGTGGGCCTGGCATCCAGAGGGGCCGGACTTCTCTGCCGGCAGGGTGTTGGAGAAGGGGCAGGGTCTCTAGAAGGGCTGGGACCTCTGCGACCAGACAGGCCTCAGGCAGTGAACTTGGGGGCAGGCCTCCCCACGCCAGAGGAGGAGTCAGGGCGCAGTGCCCTACCGAAAGTTGAGGTCCTTGAAGGAGAACTGCGTCTCAATAATACCCGTGGTCTTGACACGGGAGCGCAGCACATCCTGTTCCGTGGGCACGTAGCCCGGGGTTACCAGGCGCTCCAGGTCTGAGAGGTAGCTGTGGGAGACATGGGGTGTGGGTAGGGTTGGGTAGATGCGTGTGCCAGGGCCCCGCCTGCCCCCCACCCCTGCGCTTGGCCTGTGCTCTCACTAGCCAGCGGAGTCATTGAGCTGGTACTCTGAGGCTCGCTCGAAACAGGCCTGGATACCGGAGTCCTTCCATAGCCGCTGGATGATGTCTGACATCTCCTTGGGCATCGTACCCTCCTCGATGGTGTCCGCCATGTGCATCAGCTTCCGGGCATCATCCTGAGGGCAGGGGAGTGGTTGGTGGTGACCAGGGGCTGGGGCCCTGCCTCACACCTCGAATCCCCAGAGCCCCTGTTCAGCTAGTCTCTTGGCACACCTGGCGTGCAGAGTCTCCGTACTGGATGTTGAGTGTGGTCATGGCACGCACGATGGCCAGGATGGACTGTAGTGTGTTGCCATAGATGATGGCAATGAACTCGAGACACTCTTCCAATGAGTACCCGTCCTGATGGATAATCCTGCAGCCATGGGAGCCGGGTCAGCGCCTCTTGAGTGGGTCAGGGGACAGACCTCCAGTGCACGCCCAACCCCAGGGCCTCAGGTAGGGCAGGGGCACCACCCACCCCCAGGGCCTCAGGTAGGGTAGGGGCACTCACTTCATCTGCTTGACAATGGTACTCTTCCCAGATTCACCAGCACCTGGAATGGAAACCTGGCCTCAGTGATGCACAGACCGCACCATCCCCTCTATCCCACCTGTTTCCTTACCACACTCCCAAAATAAGGTCCTGATGCCCCAGAAGCAAAACCTAAATGTCAGGAGTGACCGAAGAGGGCTGACGAGGCAAATGGACAACCTCAACTCTGTCCTGGAGCCTCCAATACCTTGGTATGCTGTCTTTTATCTTTCGGAGGCCAAAAATAAAGAAACCTGGAGCTCCACCTTGTGGACGATTCTGGTACTACAGGCATGGGATTATTTGAGCCAGGTCAACCCCTGCTTTTCCACCTGGGGTGGAAGGGAGTGTCCCCAAGAGGCTCAGAGGGAATTAGCACTTTTGCTGGGGGAGAGGACAGAGCTGACAGTCCTTCTGAGCCTGCTCTCGTGTGGGTGTCGGGCACAGTTAATGGGATTTCTGGCTTAGCCTGTCTTCCCTGGGGTACTCTGGTTTGGTCTCTCTACACACATTCACCTGTCTGGCTGAACCCTGGACAGCCTGGGTGAAGCCTGCAGTGCCTTTTCAAAACAGTTCCTTCCCTTGGTGGTGGTAGCAGGAGGAAGTACTGGATCAGTCCTATCTCCCCTCACTACCCATGGGACTGAGGACATGGCTTTATCTATTCCCCACTGGGCCTTAGTAGCCCTCTACACCTTTTAGTTGTCCTGCAGGTCTGCCAGCAATAAAGCTCTGGAAACTGAGGGCCACTGTGTGTGGACCTGGGAGGTCCTAGAAGCTACCTACTCTCAGGAGGACTGTGACCTTCTCCTTCCCAAGGGAGCAACCTTGTTGTGGTGCTCCGAACGAGGCCCCTGGTTTCTGGGCCTTGCCCAGCAGGCCCATCAAGCCAAAGGCTGGGGTTTGAGGGAACATAGCCAGAGCAAAAGTGGGCCTTGAACACACGTCTCTAAAAAAAGTGTGATTGGCACACACATCTTGGGAGGGGAGGTTGCCTGAGGTTTGAGCCCTCTAGAAAGGGTTTCTGTGGGATACCTAGCCTTAGGGAGCCAAGAGTATCACCACCATCAGGCCTGGTCTTGTTTGGCCTGGGCTCCGCTCTGCTTGTTGCTAGGCTGTAGGCTCATTCTGTTTCCCAAATCACAGCTGCTTCACAGAAGGGCCACCTGCCTGCCCCCGGGCCTCTGACTGGCAGATGTGGCCCCTCCTCAGCCCACCCCCTTACCCAGAAGCAGCAGTTTCACGGTTCGAGCATCTTTCTCAGCATCTTCTTTCAGCTTCTTTTCCAGCTCCCTTGAGTGCTTCTCCTCAGCGCTGGCCCCAGCCCCCATGGTCCCGGCAGGACGTGAAGGAGGAGGGCGGTGAGTTGGTTCTTCTGGATGAAGGGGGTCCCCAGAGCCAGGCTCAGGCCAGCCTCTGGCCTTCCCAGACACCCTTCTAACCCCAGAACTGGGAATCCAATGGCCGTCTACAGATCTGTGCAGGCCCTGGTGGGGCTGCTTAGTAGGATTTGGGGGTTGTTGGTATCCAGGATCCAATCAGAGACAAGGACAGGTGAATCCAGCTCAGCCCCCAGCCCTCCTAATCAGGCTGGCATGGCCCCAATCCCTCAACTGCTGACTCTGCACCCCCCTCTCTGCCGCTCCCCAAACCCTCTGAGAGACACCCTGGAGGTAGTCCAGCCCCTGCTCCAAAGCAGGGGGACAAGTTCTGGGTGGCTCAGGCTCAGAAAGGGGAAGAGAGAGCCTCTATTCTGGGGGTGGGGGTAATGGGGGCGGGCCTGGAAGCAGGGAGGAGAAGAAGCCTGCAGGGAGCACCTGCCCACTGCCTAGTACTGGGCTCAGCACTGCTCCCTGCTGAGCTCACACCGGCCTGGCAGATGCGCACCACACCACTGCACCGACGAGGAAGTGGAGGCTCAGAGGATCCCGTGGCAGGAGGTGGTTGAGAAGGGCCGATGACTCCAGGCCAGGGTTCCAGGCTCAACAGGGAGTCAAGAAGAAAAGGTGGACATTGCATTTGCCCTGTACCAAGGGCTGGATCCAACCTGGGCGAGGCCTCTACCTGCCTCCATGATTCCAACAATCATGCACACTTCGGTGTGTGTGCATGTATCCTGTACTGGTGTCAAGCAAGGCAATGACGTATGTTTGTCTGTGTACACTTGTGTGTAAACATGTGCCTGTGCTTTCATGAGTACAAGTGCATGTCTATGCTCATTTGTTTGTGTACCACATGTGTGTGTGCATGGATGCTTTTGTGCACTTCTCATGTGTGTGTTTATATGTGTACCTTGCTATGCTTATGTGGGTTAATGTTGCATGTGTGCGAATGTATAAGTGCATGCCCATGTGAAATGCATGTGTGTGGATTTGCCTGTGTGCACATACATTTATGCACGTGTCTGCCTGTATGTGTGCACATTTGCACGTGTGTGTACCCATAAACTTGAGGTCAGCAGTCTGACCTGTAGAGGTGGCCAGGCTCTTCCAGGGAATGTCTTGCAGGCCTGTTATCAAATGGGAACACTGAGTCCCAGAGCAGGTCTGGTGCTCCCAGGGGAGGAGCGGATGAGCCCCACTCCTCTTCTGTCCCCTGTGGGTGCTCTGGGACCTGTTAGGAATATCTCCAGGGCATGCCTGCCTCAGCTTAGGGGTTAGATGTCTGTGTGGGGTTCAGATGGGACAGAGTGTGCTAAGTGGAAGTGGTTCAGCTGAGCATGTAGTGTTGAGTTGCAGCCTCTGGAGTTTTGCCACCTCCCATGAGAAGACTCAGATCCTGGGCTCTCAGCCCCCTCCTGGCTGGACTTCCCAGAAAACTTGCTGCCTTAGCACTCAACTCTTGCAGACACAAGGCTGCCAGGGCCCCATATTCTGAGCATTGAAGACTGTCCCTAGTGTTGGGCAAGCTGAACAGGCGCATGTAAATCAATGAAGTTAGAACACTCCCTCACACCACACACAAAAATAAACTCAGTCGCTTAAACACTTAAATGTAAGACAGGACACCATCAAACACCTGGAAGGGAATGTAGGCAAAACATTCTGACATAAATCGTACCAGTATTTTCTCAGGTCAGTCTCCCGAGGCAATAGAAATAAAAGCAAAAATGAACAAATGGGACCTAATCAAACTTAAAAGCTTTTGCACCTCAAAGGAAACCATAAACAAAATGAAAAGACAACCTAAGGAATGGGAGAAAATATTTGCAAATGATGACTGACAAGGTCTTAATTTCCAAAATATGCAAAAAAGCTGATGCAACTCAACAACAAAAAAACAAATAATCTAATCAAAACATGGGCAGAAGAACTAGACATTTCTCCAAAGAAGACATACAGATGGCCGACACGCATATGAATAAATGCTCAACATTGTTAATTATTACAGAAATGCAAATTAAAACTACAATGAGGTACCACTTCACACTAGTCAGAATGGCCATCATTAAGAAGTCTATAAATAATGAATGCTGGACAGAGTGTGGAGAAAAGGGAACCTTCCTACACTGTTGGGGGGCATGTAAGCTGGTACAGCCACTATGGAGAACATTATGGAGGTTCCTCAAAAAACTAAAAACAGAGTTGCCATAAGATCCAGCAATCCCACTCCCAGGCATAGAAAACTGTAATTCAAAAAGATACATGCACCCATATATTCATAGCAGCACTATTCACAATGGCCAAGAAACAAACCTAAACATCCATCAACATATGAACGGATAAAGAAGATGTGGTACAAAAACACACTGGAATACTACTCAGCCACAAAAATAAATGAAATAATGCCATTTGCAGCAGCACAGATGGAACTAGAGATTATAACACTAAATGAAGCAAGTCAGAAAGAGAAAGGCAAATACCGTATGATACCACTTATATGTGGAATCTAAAATATGACACAAGTGAACTTTTACAAAACAGAAACAGACTCACAGACATAGAGAACAGACTGTGGTTGCTAAGGGGGAGTGGTGTGGGAGAGGGATGGAGTGGCAGTTTGGGATTAGCAGATGCAAACTATTATATATAGGATGCACAAACAGTAAGGTCCTACTGTGTAGCACAGGGAACTAAATTCAATACTTTTTGATAAACCGTAACAGCAAAGAATATTTTAAAAGGATGTATAAATATATGTATAACTGAAGCACTTTTCTGTACAGCAGAAATTAACACATTGTAAATCAACTATACTTGAACTAAACAATTAACACATACACACCACACACACTGACCCTAAACACATGGGAAGTAGACACTGGTTCTGTGAGATGGGAGCTGGTGGCTTCAACAGCTGCCCTGGGTGAGGGGAGATCCGTTCAGGAGCAATAGATTATTTGTGCCACCTTCAACTTTTAGGTTCCTTTTGTCTTCTACCCTGCCACCATGCTGCAAGTGGGCCCTGGGAATCTCTGTAGTCCTGTACACACTGCCCAGGGGCCCAGGTGTATAAAACCAACAAAAATCTGCTTTCTATATATTGGGTTTGCTTCAAGTGGGACTATTCCACTGCCTCCTCATCCCCACCTGGCTCCCCTTGCCTGCCAGGTATGGCCCTGAACCCTGCTGGATCCCTCAGCCTCCCTAGCTATTGGCTTCCCCGCCAACACTCGGGAGAATCCACCTGCCAATGGAGGAGATATGGGTTCAATCCCTGGCTCAGGAAGATTCCCTGGAGAAGGAAATGGCAATCCACTTCAGTATTCTTGCCTGAAAAATCCCACAGAAAGAGGAGCCTGGCGGGCTACAGGCCATAGGGTTGCAAAGAGAGTCACACATGACTGAACATGCATGCACACCAAGGCTTGACTCATTAACTTTTGGCCCAGGGCCCCCAGCCGCACTTCCTCTCCAGCGGCTCCCCACTTATCCTGGTCTTCCCTGCCTCTGGACATTTGCTTGTGCTGGGCCCTCTGCTGAGAGCTGGCTGGAAGGAGACAGGGAAGAATGGGGATTTTGCTGATTCTAGGGCCAGGGGCACCTGTATTGTGAAGGCTGTGGCTTTGTCTTGCCAATTCTGAGTCCTGAGTTCCTGGCAAGACACAAAGCCAGGTGAGAAAGCAGCGTGAGCAAACAATCAAACGGCTGAATAAATGAATGAAAGCTGATCTTGCAAAGGAGACCATGGGGAACTGGTGGTCAAGCCACATTAGTGGGGGCAGGAGGACAGAATCTAGGTGTGGGCTGAACTCCCACCCTCCCTCCTGTGCCAAGGAGAACGCCAAAGTCCAGTCCCAGAGCCAGTGTTTATTAGCAAGATGGAACCCAAGGGCAGGTGCGGCCGGGCAGCAGAGGGCTGCCAGGAGCCCCCACCCACCTACCCAACTGCCCCCCAGAGCTATTTACACCCATCATCTGAAGTGGTGGGCAGAAGGGAGCCCTGGGGAGCCCCTGCAGGCCCCAGGCCTCCACCATGGCCCTCTCCCCCCTCAGTGCTACCTGAGCCTGGCCCCTCTGCTGTTCTCCCAGCCCCCGAGTCACAGTGGCACAGAAAAAGCGGAGAGGAGGTAGAGAGCCAGGCAGGGTGGGAAGGAGGGGCCGGAGGGGCTGCCCCACCCAGGCAGGGCTCCTCTTCTCCTATCCCCAATAAATAGAGAATAAATACCCAGGAAAGGGCTGGCCTTGACTGAGTGCCCCTCTCCCAGGCAGGCGCTGGCATCCTGTGCCACCCCCTTCTTCCCTTCTCTGAGTGCATCTGAGCCCCCGCCCCCCCACCCCCAGTCTCCAAAGCAGTCCTCGCCTCCACGTGCACGCCAACAGCAAATATATCTTTTATATTAAAAGGAACAAGGGCTAGAGGCTGGCCCATTGCAGGGCTCAGACAGCAGGCCTCATGTGTCCGGCGGGTGGTGGCGGCGGTTCCGGGGTTTTTTCTGGTCCTGGGGTTTAGGAGGCCTGGGTGCCCCAGGGGCCTCCCTGGGACTCGGGGGCACGTGGCGCCAGTAGCCCTGGCAGTACTGGTGGATGAGGCCCACTTCTGGCTGGGCCAGCAGCTGGGCCAGCTCTTGGTAAGGGGGCGTGGGGGGGCCGGCGCCCGGGGGCGGTGGAATGCTCGCAGCTGGCGGTGGGAAGAGGGCCGCATGGACGGCGTCCCGGCCCAGGACGTGCAGCTGCACCCGTGTGATGACGTGCTTGAAGTTGTTCTCGGTGGCTGTACAGGAGTAGAGGCCGCGATCGCCAGGCTGCAGGGCGCGGAGCAGTAAGCCCTGTTCGGTGCGGAGGAAGCGGTCGTCTGCGCGAATCTGCGGGGGCAGGGGGTGGGACTCAGGGGCTGCAGGGCACCTTTGTGGCCACCCCATGGAGGGACACCCCTCTGGAATTTCCGTGGAGCAAGAAAAACCCACAGGAAGTGTCCATGTGACATCTGAATGAGACACACTGCCATTTCCGGAGGAAGGACCATAAGGGGAGTCTGGAGTACACATACAATTTCTGTTTAATGAGAATAAACAGATGTTGGGGCACCCTCGTAGAATTTCCGTTTAAGAAAGGATTGCCTAGAAGCTATTTCCATAATAGGAGGGCTACCCGATAGAATTTCCAGATGCTGGAACCCACCCACGTGACAGTTCCATACAGTGAGGTACACTGCCAATCTAGTACACATATGGAACTCTCACATAAAAAGGCATGCCTACAAATAGTTTCCATGTAATATGGAAACCCCACAGAGTTTCCATATAACTGGATTCACCCAAGTGATTTCCACACCGGGAAGGGTGCTTGGAAGGACTTTCTTAGAGTGAGGGCTGCCCCACTCCTAGTTCCTATACCACGCTTCACCCACGTGGAATTCCTACTGTACGAGGGACGCTACCATCCACGGCAGGGACCGTGGGGCACGGGAAGTCACCTCGCGGCGCCGGTCACTGGGATCTCGCTGGAACAGCCACTTCACGGTAGCCTGGGGCGAGCGGGGCTGGCACTCAAGGAAGGCTGCGCTCCCTGCCACGCCGTACTGCACGGACTCCACGGCGTTCTTATTGGCTGCAGGGCAATAGGGTGCCACGTGGAGCAGCACCGCCTCTGGGCAGACTGCGGGCTGGCAGGGGGCACATGCAGCCACACACCCCCACATGCACACAGGCAGGGCTGTGCCCTCAGGCCTCCACTCCTAGAGGGGGTGGCCAGGGACGTCCCTTCTCCAACCCCTCACCTCCACGGACCGTGGGAGGATCTGTGCAGTGGGGGCCCCGTGAGCGGCTCTGCGGGCCGCACGGCTCCACACTGAGGAGTGCCCAGCGGTAATGAGTCACAGCACACTCACCGTTGGAATTGAACCCACGGCACTGCCTGATGGGGTTCCCATGCCGGACGTCCTGCCGGCGGCTCCGCCTGGATGAAGATAGCTCCTAAAGAAGTATTCTCAAGAAAGCTTGTTCCCCCCCACTCCCCACCACCAGGTCTCTAGAACCCCAAAACTCCAGGCTAGAATGCCTCACCCACAGAGACCTGCAGGGCAATATCACATCCACCTCTAGACCCCCAGGACAGAGCCTCGGGTCTGGTGATCAGAATTCCCAAGGTCTCAGGGCCCGCACCTCTTAGAAGACGCTGTGTAGCGGGAACAGGCTTGGCCATCCCAGGCACAGTAGGGGTCCCGGGCGAGGCAGCAGTCGGCACAGGCGGCCCCATATGCCTGGCAGCGGTGCAGGCTCAGGTGTGTGACGCCGACAGCTGAGGCCACGTACAGTTGTTGCTGTGGGCAGGGGTAGGGGCTGGTCAGTTCCCCCCAGCAGCCAGCTTTCCTTAGGAGCCAGTTGAGCTGGGCTCCTCCCCTTCCTGTTTGGTACCTCGGTATCCCCCATCTCTCTTTACCACGGGCTTGACCCCAAGGGGAGGCGGGTTCCACTCCCACTCCCAGCCCACCTCGCCTAAACTCACCCTCTTGGAAGAGATGGTCATGGTCTTAACAGGTGCTGGGTCCTAGAAGAAAACAGGCATTAGCGTGCGACCCTGGGGACCCCTCTTCCTGTCCTGACCTGGAGGTCTGAGGTCAGGAGGTGGTACCAAGGAGGGCTGTGGTGAGCAGGACAGGCCCGGGTGGTATCACACCCACCTTGAAGACCTCCACCTCCTCCAGCATGAGCTCCTCCATCTCCTGGTCGTCCTTAGGCAGCACGATGACTTTCTGCACTGTCCCGCGGTCTGGAACGGGCCGGGCAGGGCCTCAGCGGGGCTGAGGGTGCTGGGAAAGGGGCACCAGCCTCAGCCCCTTCCCCACCAGGGCCCAAACCCCCCAAGGGCAGTGGAGTGGGCATGCTCTGTGCCAAGGTGGAAGAGCAGCCCCCAGATGAAGGGAAGAGGGCTAAGGGGGCTGGCCCTGCATAAGGAGGGAGCCACAGCTAGACTCTGCCCCTCTGACCCCAGACCCTCGTCCGGGAAGCTAAGAACAGCATGCTGAACGTGTTCCCCTCGGTTGAAGACTACTGGGACAGTGGTGAATGTGGTCTGCGTGTGCACACGAGAGCATGTGTGTACTTGGACCCGGGTGTCCTAGAAGTGCCTGCCTCTGTCTTCCCTCTTCCTGCCCAAACATGGGTCCCCAGGCACCCTGGGTCCCTATCCTCCCGGCCACCAGAGATGGGGATGGGAATGGGGTTTCCCCACCCCCATTCTCAGTTATCCTGGTAACAGAAGGCCCCACAGGATGAAGGTGGCAGGGCTGACACGGACAACCTTGTAGCAACCCCCTGGGAGGTTAGGGCCCAGCCCTGCGGGTCAGCCCTCCACCCAGAGGGCCCAGCGTGGGAGGGGCCGGGAGCAGCAGTGGGTACCTGTGCCCAGGAAAAGCACCTCATAACGCCCGTCGGCTGCGTCCACCTGGTCCACGGCCACAGTGGTGAGACGGTAGGGGGCGCCCGTGCGGACCACCAGGGGCCGCCGCTGCAGCGGGTAGACGGCCTGGTACATGAGCGGGTGGCTGCGCATGAAGTTGATGACTTCATCAGGGTAGTCCTTGGTGGACTTCATGGACGGTGTGAAGGTTCCGCCAGGGCACTGCAGGCAGGTGATGAGCGTCAGGCCCAGCCCGCCCAGGGCCCGCCGGGGCCCATTCGCTCCAGAAGAGGTCTCCCCTCTGTCTGTGCCCACCTGCTGTCTCCACCTGCTCCACTTCTCAGAGCCGCCCCCCACCTGGGCTTCTGCCCACCACCCAACCTCTCTGCAGGTCCTGCTCCAGCTGAGGTCCTCAGGTCTCACCCAGCCAGATCCCATGGCCATCTCCCCAGCTCACGTGCCGTGACTTTGTGGCAGCCATCTGGCAGAGCTGAGCATGGCCTTTCCAGGTCCTCATCCCCACCCACTTGTCTGCTTCTTCCGACTGCTCTTCCAGACCCCTCACTCCTTCCCCCGCTCCACCCCCTGCTCAGCGGGAGCTCCTGCCCCAGCCTAGCCATGTGATCGGATCATGATGTGTTCCTCCTTCCACTCCTGCGGTGGCCCCGGCACACCAAGATCAGGTGGGTCACCTCCCTGCAGGGGCTCCTGCCCACCCCACCCCCACCTCCAGCCTGCCTTGAAGACTTCCCCCACAACTTCCAGCTCCCAAACAACCCCCCTGCCCCCAGAGGGTGCAGCCTGCCACACCCAGCCACCATCTCTGTTTCAGGATCCTAGCTGGCTTCTTTCACAGCCTGACACTGTTTGTAAATGGTGGAGTTTTCTTTTTAACTTCAACTTTATAGCGGGTGAATGGGGAGTTTATACATGTGTGTGGTCCACCCTCCCCTCCCCGCCCGCCACTTGGCTATGAGTGTCACAGTGGTGGGGCCCACGTCTGCAAAGGGCCTGACCCAGCATAGGTCGTATAAAGAGAGGAAATGGAAAGGCAGGCTGAGTGGGGTCCTCACCGTGCCGGGCCGTGGGTAGGGCATCTTCCCTGAGAAAGGCATCCACTGGTAGTTGGGGCCCTCCTTGTGGGCGAAGGGCCCGTTGAAGACCATGCGGATGTCAGCCATGGAGTAGACACACACGGCAGAGCCTCGGAATACAGAGCTGCAGGCAGGGCAGGCTGCTGCCGCGGGTGGGGCAGACCCTGGGCCCAGGGCCCCTCCCCGGCCTGCCTTCACCCACAGCTCCCCACCAGGATGGGGTCCTCCACAAGTCATAGCCCCTCAAACTGCCACCCCCCACTACTGCTGGCCCTGGCCCCAGCCTCACCCCGAGGAGGTGAAGACAGCGTAGATGACTGGGTTCCTCACATCCTGGGTCTGCTGGACAAACACATCCTCTGGGGACAGAAAGAGAGGGGGCTGGGAGCATACCCCAGCCAGGAGCCCCAGGGCCCTGCCCACTTCAGGGAGGGGGCACACCAAGTTTTCCCAACCACCCGTCTGGCCGCCCTCCCCCGCGGTGGCCACCGGGTGCTCACGGAGCTCGTCGAAGTGGGTCTCGATGCCATCCTCGCCCGGCACGGAGCAGACCAGCCTTGCCTTCAGGAACGTGCTCCACTTGTTTACCAGGCAGCAGTGGCCGCCGTCATCATTCTGGGGGGGCAGGTGCCGGGTCAGATCAGCTCGCTCAGCCCCAAGACCCCGCCAAAGCTGGGCTGACAAGAGCCAGGACTGGGCTTGGGGAGGGGGCGGCAAAGGTGCCTCGTACCAGGCAGATCCGCCCGATGCGGGCGTACACGGCAGGGCTCTGCGGCGCCTCTGTGGACCGCTCGCGGAAGAAGAAGTAGAGCTTGTCGTCGTTGCGCTCGGCGCTGTCGGGGATGAGCTCAGCGTGGATGAATGAAGGGTCTGCAGGCAGGCAGGGGTCAGCAGGCCAGGCCCTCCTCAGACAAGGCTTCTTGCCCAGGTCAAGTGCAGGAACACCCCCAACCCTTCCCTGAACCTGGGATAAGAAGCCACCCCTGCCCTAGCCAGTCAAGGGCTCCCAAATTTTCCATGAGTGTTGCCTTATGGTGTCCATGCTGCACCCCAGACATGCTGCCCACCGGAGCGGTCACGGGCTGTTCTCACCATTGAGCCACCGAGAGTTGTACTGATCCGTGCGCATGGCCGTCTGCTTGCCAAGGGTGCGGAAGATGGCTGCGTCGGTGCCCATGAAGTCGATGTACACGCCTGCATAGAGCTCCTCGTCTGTAGGTGGGCCAGTGAGTCAGGGGGACGCCCTTGGCCGAGGCCGGTGCCCAGCTCAGGTGGCCTCCGGGGCAGGGGCCCGTCTCCCCCCTCAGGTTCTCCCAGGTAGCCATACCACCAGTGGGCGCTGGGGACTGTTTTCACAGCTGGTTCTGGGAGGACTGGGATTGGTCGCAGTTGGCTCTGATAAGCAGCCAGAGCCAGTGTCTGTGGTGTGAATGCTCCCACCAGGGCTGATTTCAAGCTATTACCCTGAGTCACTGAGCAGAGTGGGGAAGAGCTGCTCAAACCAGTGGATAGAGCTCCTCACGGATATTCACAGAAGATGTAAATAATCTCAAGAGTACAGATAATAATAAAACATAGTAAAATAATCAGGAAGTAATGAGTTTGGAGTATCTTTACATTTGTTTTACAGTAATTTAATTGTAAGCTTATATAATTGACTTTTTAATACTATCTGTGTTTAATAGCTGGCCCACAAAATACCTGAACATTTAACAGAAAACCTGACAAGTGCGCTGGCTCCAGTACACCACTCCAAGGTTCTCCCAGCAGGCCTTGTCTTCCCCCATCAGACTCCCTGGTCTGGATCCTGCCATCCAGCTAGGGGGCCTTCTTAGCAAGATGGGGGAAGATAAAGCCCACCCACTGCCTTTCCCAGGCTTGGAGGTGGCACATTGCCCAGCAGCTGCTGAGAGGCAGACACGATGGGCAGCCGGAAAACAGGCTGAGTGCAGGGACCTGGGTCAGCACGGGGCTTGCCTGACCTGGGGGTAGGGGGCCACAGCTGCTCCTGAGGCCCCAGGCAGGACTCCTTCTCAGAGAACATTCTCCCAACTGACCCAGACACCTGGCCAGACCAGAAACCAACTCTCCCTGTCGGTCTCTGGGCCAGCACATTCCACTGGTGCTGCCCTGTGGGCCTCTCCTGGTCTCCCAGACGATCTAAGGCAGACTCCGGGACCAGCCCTCATAGCAGATTCCGCTTGTCTTTTCCGAGGAAGCCTGCAGTCCAGAGGGCTCTGACCTTCGCATGGACCCCAGCGTGGATTTCAGGGTAGAATCTGACCCCCCGAGCCTGTCCCCGCCCCCCCATCCAAGGGGCTGGATGGAGGCTCATGCCACCTCGCCTCTGCCTGTCTCTGCCCGTCAGCTACTGGGGTCTGGTCTGTACCCTTCCCCTTGCCAAGTGAGGCCACACTGCGGGGGGCAGGTTTCAGACAGGGCAATTTCACAGTCTCTTCCCTGAGATAAGTGTTGGGGCCATGCTCCCTGCTCCAGAGGCAGAGGTCACGCTTTTAGGCCACAGAACCGGGCAGGGTGAGGGCACTCACTGATGAGGGCTGAGGCTGTGTCCAGCTTGGGGTCGTAGGGACACTTGCCCTTCCCTGACTCGAGCTTCTCGGGCTCCAGGTAGAAGATGTAATCCTGTAGGGCAGAGAGGGGCGCAGCATCGTCCAGGCTGTCCCACAGCCAGGGAAGGTGAGGGTCACCAGACTGCCAGGGTGACAGTGAGCCCCCAGGGGAACCCTGAAGCCACCCTGCTTCCCTCCCGAGATCTCACTGGGTTTTAACTCCATCTGGCCAGGTCTCCCAGGGCACAGCCGTGCTGTGGGTTCCCAGGGAGATGCTTCCTGGTCCAGGTCTCAGATAAGACCTGGGAATCACAGGTCTCAGAGGACTCTGCTTTGGAGACCATGAGAGGGGCATGGGGTGGGCTTATGAGGGCTGAAGCCCCTCCATGCCACTGGTTCAGGGAGACTCTGCCCAGGGTCCCCCAACCCCACCCTGGGCCACAGAGGCACACCTCTCTGAGCTGTGGCTGCTGGTCTCAGGCCACAGAGCGGCTGCCAACCTGACCAGGGCAAGGGGACTGGCCAAGGGCCTGCAGTCCTGTCCTTTGCCATCAGGTCCCACCAGGCCCGAGGGCTCTGAGGTTATTGTGCCCCACCTGTGGTCCTTGGGACAGACTAATAGAGCGGGGCCTTTTCCCTGCCCCTCAACAGAGCCCCCAGCCCCACATGTCTCTGTGGGGGGCTGGGAGTTGAGGGGTCTAGCCCAGACTACGTGGAATTCACAAAGCCCCCCAGGCCTCCCAGCCCATCCCTGCAGGCGCTAGGAGGAAGGCTGGTGAGGGCACTGAGGCCAGGATGAGCTCATGAGCTGGTAAAGCGAAGGAGAAGAGACAGGCAAGAGGCAGGAAGAAGGTGCAGCAAGGGGCAGGGATGGTGATGGGAAGGTGTACACAGACCTGCTTCCAGTTCCACTCTGCACACACACGGCTTCCTGCACACACACGGGGCTCACACAAGGCTCGGCACGCGTCACAGCCAACACACGGAACCCACTGTTCACACCCTGGGCGCACACACACGGAGTCTGAGTGGTCCCACCTTTCAGCACTCCCTGCCACAGACACACTAGCTCAAGTGACCACTTGCTCTGTCACTCACCGGCAGCCCCTGCCCCCCTGCCCGCCCCTGCCCAGCCCCGGCACCTCCCAGCCCCGGCCCCCAGTGGCCCCCCAGCCCAGGCTTGTCCCAGGTCAAGTCTAGGAGACACACAGTTCTGCGCCTCCCACCTCGGGCATGGGGGTGTGCAGGACACCTGCGTTATTTAACCCACGACCCAGGGGAGGCCTGGGGCACGGAGCCCTGAGAGCTACGCCAGGTTGAATCCATGTGCCATGCTCCTGCACTGGGTGCTGAGTATGGTGTGGGCTGGAGAGTGCCCTACACGTGCCCACGCATGTGTTGGTGTGTGCTCACACATGCCTACACACGTGTTCTGAGGGCGGATGAATGGCGTCCCCAGGGCTCCTGTCTTCCCCAAATGGTGACTTCATGGTTTCCTGTCACACTGAGGCTGACCCGAGTCCAGCTGGGAATGCCTTCAGAGCCCGAGGGCGCTGCAGGGGAAGGGGTGGGAGGGGGCACACAGGCAGACGGAAGACCCTGCGGAGGCTGGCCTGGGGTGCGGGTTCCTGGCTGGAAGGCCAGGTCCGGAGTGAGTTCAGTTCTGAGGCAGGACTGCCTGGCAAGGGCCTGGAGGGATGAGGCCCACCTGGCGTGGGGCTGTGGGCGTCGGGTAGAGGGCACCATCGGTGGCTCTGCTGCCTCGGCCTCTGACCACCTGCATCTGGGTCCAGGGCGTGGCCTGAGAAGACGAGGAACACGGGTTAGAGCCAGAGGTGGCAGGGGCTGGGGGAGCGGGCTTGGGCTGCCAGCCTCTCACACCACATGTGCCAGGGACACACAGGCGCACCTGGGCCCCCAGGGCTCACACGTGCACCGCCGTGAGGACACGTCCGCACAGCTGGGCCACACCTGCACACACCCATGCCCCTTCGGTCCAGTCGCTCTCACACACACTCTACGAGGTCACACCAGCTCACACGCACGCCCACATGGAAATGGAGGCGGGTAGAAGCAGGCGGGCGGGCGGGCAGAGCTGAGGAAGGGGCAGCTCTCCCCCAGGCCGTGCGGCAGAAGCTGACTCAGGCGTCCAGCCTCCTGACGCTGAGGCCCCCACCAGGCCCTCTGGCTTCGCTGCAGGGGCACCGTCCACAGGCAAAGCCAAGAGACCTGCTGCCAGGGATGGACTGAGCGGTTACTACACACCAGGTACAGTGCTAAGCGCTCTGAGAGCATCAGCTCACTGCCTCCTCCCCACACCGACCTGTTAGAGAGGCAGTTATGAGCCGGGTTTTCAGGTGAGGAAACGGAGGCTCTGAGAGGTGGAAGAAGTCACTCACCCACGGTCACAAGGCCAGGAGGTGGCAGGGCTGGGGCTCAGGCCCGTGCTCCCGTCAGGGCCCTGGAAGGCAGCTCCCAGTGGTGGCAGTACTGGGCCCGAGTGGGGGGCTTACCTGGGCACGGCGGCCACGGTTTACGTAGGTGCACATGGGGTTGTAGGCGCCGGTGCCACACACGTACAGGTGTGTTCGGTTCCAGGGCTGGATGAGCCTGACGAAGTTCCCGCACTCACCCTGGGGCCGGAGGGAAAGCCAAGGAGGTGCCCAGATGCCTGCCTGGCCCCATGCCTTCCTGGGGTCCCGGTGCGCCCGGCCCTCCCCGTTTCACCCCACCCGTGGATCCCACCACACTCACATTGCCATCCTTGCCCGAGAGCACGCACTCTTCAATGCGCTGTGGGGAGGCTGCCCAGTGGATCTGCCAGAGATGGGGGTCAGAGGGCCTGCGGGCCGGGGTCCCCCACCCTGGGGCCCGCGTCCCCCCTCGTTCCCCCGCCCCACATCTGGCCTGGCCCTTACAATGAGGGGCTCACGGTTGATGTCATGCAGGTCCAGGGACAGCACGTAGTCCTTGCTGCCCACATACATGCGGTCGTGGTCCTCGTCCTTGAACAGGATTCGGTAGTCAGTTGTGTTGAGAAGGAAGTTGAAGAAGTGGGCCGTGCCTGTGGCCTTAAGCTCTGTGGGCAGAGGGTAGGGCAGCGGTGAGGGCGCCTGGAGACCAGCCAGCCATTCCCTCTTCGACAGAGGCAGTGGCCCCACCCCAGGGTCATCTTAAACCCTCTGCTTCCCTTGCAGGGCCTACTTGGTAACCTCTTGAGTCCCTGACATTCTTGGAGGAGAAAGTGGGGCAACAGGTGGGCAAGCCAGGGAAGGGGCCACACCCAAAGCTGGGGCCCTGGTTCATCGGCAGCCCAGTCAGTCTCCAGGTCCCAATGAAAGGGCAGTGGGCGCAGGCCAGGGCGCATGACGGCATCAAAGACTCTGCTCAGGTGGGGGTTAATGCTCCCACGCTCAGGGTGGGGCCAGCTTCCCACAGGAGCCTAAAAGGGTTAATGAGCAAGGGGTAGGGGTGGGGGCAGGTGCATCAAGGGAAGCTCGAAGATGCTGTCACAGAGCCAGGGCGCCCTGTCCTCACCCCAGCTGCCAACAAGGAAGGGGGCAAAGCGGGCACACACAAGGTCTCCACCTTATCGGAAGCAGGTTAGCCAGGACACAGGAAAGCCTTGCTGGAAGCAAACTGCCCAAAAGACCTTGGGCTTCCCCCAGACCCCATGGGGTTGCTGATGGTGGAACCCTCAGGCCCCTTCCTGGAACCAGCCAGGAAGTCCTTCCCAGAAAAGAGGCCTGCCCTCTGGGGCTGCAGCACCCCCGGCGGCTAGAAGCAGCGTCCATCTGAGTCCTCAGTTTCCCTTCCGTGTGGCCCTCGGACCCACAGGCTGCTGGGGGAAAGCCTTCCTTTCTGAGGATGAAACACAGGAGGGAACTTGGCTAGTGATAGGCCAACAACAGAGAGAGGACTCCAGGAAACTTGGGAACCTTCCTCCTCTGGGAGAGGGAGTTCCGAGGGGTCCCCATGGCAGGCCCCTCCTCCACCCACCCCCCAGCTATTTTCAGCTCCACCGGAGTGGAGCGATTGTAACCAGGGTGATGGATATTCACCAGCATGGGAGGCTCGAGATGGTGGCACACAGAACGAACAGTATGTATGTATGCACCCGGCCCCCAGGTATACACACATGTACACATGCACCTAGCCCAGGTATACACAAATGTACATATGGGTCCTATGCCACATGAGGCACCCACCAAGGGAGATCAAACATGTGCAATCTCCCTGCCCCATAGCTGGTGACCCATTTCACAGGTGGGGCAATTGAGGGACAGGACCGGGAGAGGGGGGAATAGCTGGGATCTGAGGTCCTCAGGGTGGAACCAGCAGGGGGCTCCCTCCCATTAGTCCAGGCTGCCTTCTACTGGGGCAGTTGTCTCTGACTGGCCTGGCCGACCCTGGCCCCCTGCTGTGCACCCAGGAGCTGGGAAGGGGGCTGGAGAGGCTGAGCCGGAGAGCAACTCTGAGAAGGAGCTTCGGGATGTGCCGAGACGGGCGTGTGAGGTGGGCTGGGAGCCAGGGGACTCCCACAGCAGACCCGGAGGCCACGTCCAAGGCCGTGCCCCGCCCAGCCCTGACTATGGCAGCAAGAGAATACAGGTGATGACCTTGGCCCACCGCTGGGACGCAGGGACGCCAAGGGATCAAAGGGCCGATCCCTGCCTGGCTTCGGCCTCGTCGGCGGTGCCTCTGAAGTCCTGGGCAGGGCAGCCTGGGCACCTGTCCTGCACCTGTTGTTGGGCCACTCGGAGTCCCCCGCCTGGCCACCCGGCCATCGTGACAACAGGAAAGTAAACACTCCCCCACCCCCAGGGCCAGGAAGTGGCCAGAAAGGAAGTGGGGCTGCCAGCAGAGCCCCCCCAGGCTGGGCCAGCCCGCCAGGGGTTATTTATACCCTGGCTGGGGGCATGGCCTTGACGGTGCCCTTACCCATCCTGCTGGGCTAGGGGGCATTTGGGGGGCAATAGGGGGAGGGAGGCGAGGCTCAAGTGGGCACCTTCAGACACAGGGATCTAAGGTGGGGGGGAACTTCAAATATCGAGCCCCAGGGATGCAACCGGCTATAATCCCTACATCCCTGCCCAGCCCCATGGGCCCCTATAATCCAAATCCTGCCACTCTACAGTGCCAGGACTCCCCAAGTTTTCCAAACCCCCCTCTCAAGTTCAAAGCCCTGTGAGGACAGAGGAGAGGGCCATTCAGCAGATGAGGAAACAGACCTACAGGAGGAGCAGGAGGCCGGCCTTGACCTGACACCCTCCCTCACAGCCCTGGGGATGGAGGGAGCCTCTCACTTAGTCATCCCGTATCTATCAAGGGCGAAGCCCTGTGCTCCATCCAGTTTACAGAGCACAGGCACAGAGCAGGGAAGTGACACATCGGAGTGCGCAGAGCGTGGGATTCCCGCCCAGGTCCGCGGCCTTTTGGACTGAAGGAGGGGCCAGCCCCGGCAGAGCCCATCCTGGTGGTGGTGGTGGTGGGGATTGCCCGCCGGGAGGGCAGGGGCCGGAAGGTGACTTGTCCTCCACTGACAGGGCACATGACTCAGGACCCTCGGGACCCCTCCCAGTGGCCACGGGATATGGCGTCAGTGGCTCTGTTGTCACAGGATGTGATGTTTTGGTCACTGTGGAAACAGGCGGGTGTGGGGAACCCCCACAAGGCTGTGTAGGGTAGGGAAGGGGTGGGACAGGGGCCGGGAGTCTCTGACCCTGCCACGGGCTCCTGGCATGGGCTTCAGAAGCCCAGCTGGGGGCACCAAGTGCTCATTGCCTGCATGCCAGATTGTAGCAAAGAATTACAACAAGGGTCCCTGTGTCAGCTCTGCAACCCCAGCTCCAAACAGGAAGACTGAGGCCTGGGGGAGAGTGGTGCTCACCTTAGGTCACCGGGCAAGGACTGAAACTGGTACCCTGTCCCCACCTCCCCTCTGCCACAGGGTGAAAGAACAGGGGCTCTTCACTCCTCCGAGAAGCCCAGCTGAAGGCAGGTGGTGCCTGAGTAGCCCTGGGCATCCTGCTCTGACATCTGCAGCGTCAGCAGGCCTAGAGCCTAAGGCTGCCAACCCCCCAGTGAGGGGCAGGGACTTGGGCCCAGGCATCCATGGGGCCTGAGCAGGCATGGGTGTATGTGGGGGAGCTGACATGGACCCAGGCTGCTCATGTCCTCAGGCCAGTCCTCAGCTCTGATAGCGGGAGGATCACCCCCGCCCCCTACAACCCCAGGACAATACAGATGGAGGGGCTGGGGCACAACCAGCCCGACCCAAGGCTCTGTGGGTGCCACGGATTCAAGTCTAGATGAGCTCTGATTCTGGGGAGGGAGGGAGGGTGGTGTGCCTTGGTGATGCTCCAGGGACGAGCTCCCCACCCCCAGGCCCTCTTGCAGGCTGGGCACAGGTTGGGTGGAGCAACATCCGGGAAGGCTTTTCCCGTCATCGGGAAGGAAGAGCCTTTTCTGGCATCGGCCACCTCATTTCCGCAGCCGTTCCCAGCCTTGACAGTCTCCCATGGCCATTAGACACTTGGGGTCCTGGCCCAGAACAGCCTGGCAAAGGTCCAGGGGCAGGAACTTTCTCAGCGTACAGGAGCCTAATCCTGGGGGGTCTCTGTTTCCTCCTCTCTGGGAAGCACTTGATGCCTCACTTGAAAGGAGGAGGTCGGCGAGGACAGTGCTGAGGGGGCGTGTCTGCAGCCCTCACCCGCAGACCCCGAGTGGGCGGCCCCCGACCCCTGCTGCCCGTCTCTAGGACACCAGGCCTGTCACCAGTGAGGCAGGGGCTGCTGCAAGAGGGGGGTCTTGGAGCAGAGATGGGTACCCCGCCCCCTTGGTTACAGCCCTACAAAGCAGCAGGCCTTGACTGACAGTATCACCTCTGGGGCTGTGCATGGGTACTGCGAGCTGATGGACAGGTCCCAGCAGCCCAGCCCTGACCTCTGACTTCATGTGGGCTGGGGCAGCCCTAATTCCTAAGATGAAGAGAAATGAGGCGGAGGGTGAGGGGCAGGGGTGTGCCAGGGTCTCTGTTAGGACTCTATCCTCTGGCCCTTCTGAGGAGGGAAACTTGAGGTGGACAAGGAGATGGTAGCAGGAGCAGGAGGGGAAGGGTCCCTCCTGGACACCCTCATGGGCACTAAGGAGGGGTGGCCCCCAGCCCCTTCATCACTCCCCCACGCTGCAAGGGGCCCCAGAGGAAGGCCCAGGGGCTGGGCTGGCCCCCTGGCTCCCGGCCTAATCCTCTTTTAATGAGCGGCCAGCCGGAAGGCCTCAGCCCCTGGCCACAGCCTTGCAAACCTGGAGCTCCAGCCAGGCCGAGCGGGGGGCAGGGCAGCCCTAAAGCCTTTGTAGGCACCTTTCTCCCTGCTCAGCACCCCACCTCCCACATTCCTCAATGCCAGGCTCCCAGCATCTCCAGGGACACACCGGGGTGACATGTGCCTTGTGCTAACCCTCTTCTAGGCATGTACCATTTATTCAGGTCCAGGTCCCACATGGGGCTGAGCAGGGGAAGCTGTCACCTTTGATTCAGGGGCTGGGTCTCCCAGCCCCTTCCCTCTACCATCCCTAGGGTTGTTCTAGATGGGAACCCCTAGAAGCCAGACCCAAGGGTTTGCCTGGGGCTTAAGCTGTCTGCTCCCTGGGGGGTGGGGGGGCAGGCTCCAGGTTCCTCTGGCCCCAAGTCCATCAAACTCTGTCTTCTCCAATCCCATCTCTGCATCAGGCTGTCCAGAGCGGAGATCCACAGGCCTCCCTAGGAGCCGTCCAGACTCTGTCTTCTCCAATCCCATCTCTGCATCAGGCTGTCCAGAGCAGAGACCCACAGGCCTCCCTAGGAGCCATCCAGACTCGCCCCTCTTCCCCCTAGGCAGGTGAGCCAGGTCGGTGCCAACAAAACCAATTACAGCAGCTCTCACCCAATTAGCAACTAATTATGGCCTCGTAGTCCATTCAACATAATTAACATGTAAATGACTCCGCGTGTTTATATTCAATAACGGCTCTGATTGAATTTAATTTAAAAGTCTGAACTGGGGACCCTGTTACCGTATTTCACCACTTAGAGCTGCC